TGACATCGCGATTGGGATACAAGCAGAGACTGAGTGGCTAGAGGAATGGAAAGCTGACCTGTATCCTGCTGTTACGTTATCAAATGCGATCGTAAATTGAGATTGACCCAGTGCTCGAGGGACTACACTTCCCACCAGGTCATTGTTTGCCTCACGGGGAGTGTCTTGCACAAATTGTTGAACTCGCGAAACTGCCCCGATGGTTGTCTCAAGACTAGTCCATGACCGGAGAGTGCTCGAAATCGTGCTGTTGAAGGTGAGAATCAAGCTAAGGGCGACACCGACCGCTGCACCATTATACTGGTCGGCCAAAGAGGTTGTCATCGCAACGATAATGACTGCCAAAGCCGCAACAATCAAGCCCATTACAAGTGTCAGCCATTGTTGTATGCAGTACAGCATATAAAAGGGTCTTTGTGAATTGTTGAGGAGCATATGCATCTTCTCCTGGAACCAGTGTTCCATCCCAAAAGCCCGGAGAGTGGTGACTCCGTGCACTGCTTCCGTGAAATGCGTATAAAGAGGCGCCTTGGCTTCCAGATCCAGTAGTCGCACCTGTCGAGAAGTACGAAGGTAATATCTCTGGAGGATCACTATACTGGCCAGAAGCACAGGGACTGCAACTGCTAGGTATTTGCTGACGATGCAGAGAATGACCAGTTTGACCACGCAGCTTGCCAATCCTACGTTGATTGGCGTTAGCTTCTTAAACTCAGCCGTCCCCAAACCCCGCTTTTTCGATAGTTCAATAGAAGGCAAATATGGAAAAGGGGGAAGAACATTACCCGTCAAGAACATAGATGCCACTAATGGTAGCATCATGTCAATCAATTCCATATCTTGACTGAATCTGTTGGTTAAGGCACCGATTTCTGTGTCCTGGAAGAACTTGAACGGCGCACTGCCATAAATGGTCAGCAAAGACATGAAATTTGACGACATTATTTGAGCATACCTGAGCGTCGTAGACAGAAGATCTGTATGGAGATTTAACGCAGTGTTGTTGATCATATTGATTATCAGAAGCCTGTGACAGTCATGGTGCAAGTCAGTTATCCAGAAATCGACGACATTGACTTGAACAATTAGAATGTACATACCACAATCCACCCACGGTACTTACGAGCTGTATCACGAAGAGCAGAGCATATATCCCCAAATACATACCCACGTCCTTGTTAGGACTCCTTTCATTGGCCTCCACCCACCACTGGATCCATAGAGCTAAGAACGACCAGAGATTAGACTGTGAGATGTAACAGCAGGATCATAGATACTTTGGACGTACTTGTAAAGTCCCCACTCACTGCCTCCATAACAATGAAAGCTAGACAGGTTGCAAACGGAATGAACCCTGCACTCTGATAATAGTATCTGTACACCGACCAAGTCCCTTCGCGTCGCAGAGGGCTCGGAAATTCCGGAACTGAAGGCTTTGCAGCGGTGTCGTTCACCTCATCCTCTCGAGCCGTGGATTCCTCGTGATCAGCAATATCAACAGTGCTCTCTGGGGACCTGTCCGCGCTTGCGGGGTTTTGGATTTGCATCACGTTTTGAAACGACCCGTTTCTCACGATTCTGCCTCCTTCGAGAACGACGATCTCATCTGCATATTGGAGCAGGCGTTCTTTCCAATGTAAGAATACATGATCTTCGCATTCGAAAAGGAAGTCACGAACTTACCTGTATGAGTTGCTAGGAGAACCGTCACTCCGGATTTGGGAAAATATCCGCCTGGGCCAAACAAGCGTGTAGCAATCATGTTGGTATTATTTGGGTCGAGACCACTGAAGATGTCGTCCAGGACCACGAGTCGTTTCCTCGAGTAGATAGCACGGCACAGTGCAATTCGCTGCTTTTGACCGCCACTAAGTGAAAGGCCATCGGTACCTGCACGGTACAGATCTCCATCCGGCATATTCGACAGCTCTTCTTTGAGACCACAAGCCCATATAGCGACCTCATACCATTTGGGATCGAATGGTGACCCGAGGATGATGTTTTGGCGAACTGTATCATTGATGATCCAAGGGACTTGGGAGCAATATGCCAGTCGAGAATCTGCAATCCGCACGTCTCCAGAGTTTACTACCGTTTCCCCCAGTAGGCTAGAGAGCAAGGTGGATATTCCGGAGCCCACTGGCCCGGTCAGCATGGTAACTCCTGGCCCGACACGCAGTGTTATGTCGTGGAGCTTGTTTTCGCCGGATTTGGACCATGCAATGTTAGCTCGCTCGAAGGAGATTGAGGTGGTCCCGGATCTTGACTTCGGTTGGAGCGATTGCAACTCCACTGCAATATCAACATGAGTAGGTGGAGGTGTGGGCGACCCTGTACGCGTGCTGGGTAACTCCGACTGCTTTGCACAGTATTCCTCAATGCGGAGGTAACAAGCCATCGCTTGCCTTACAGCAGGAACAGACTGAATAAATGTAATGAGTGGGTTGGTCACGAGGGATATCAGCGAAAGCGATGTAAAAGCCTGACTGGAGAGCAGTGTCTTATTGTGCGTTGCGACCGCGATTATAGTATAGATGGCGAAGGTGGCAAACGGAGCAAAGTCGGTCGGCACATTAGCTGTGAAAGATCAGTATACCAACGATATCAAGTAGATGATTTTCTCTCCTACATATGACGATTTCCCATATGAGCAATTTCCGAAAGCGCTCAGAAGTCTCCAGCTCGATCTTCCGCAAGTTGGATATAGTTTGGAACATGACCTGAGAAAGACCGAGCATCTTGATGGACTTAATATCGCGTAGCATACTGAATGACTCTGTCACTCTTGTTTGGACGCATTCAACCCATTGCTTCTGAGCCTGACCTGACCTGTTAGAAATGGGCCCAATGGCCAACACCGAGGCTATACAAAGTTAGTTGAAGTTTATTAACGATTGACTCGCATAAAGGGAATTGTAGGTACCTATTGCAATAACCGCTGGAACGACACAGGCGATGAGAAGCTGCCGCTCTAGTAACCAGATTGCGATACCCACTTCAAGGACCGAGGCCAATGTCTCGTGGATTGTCTTCTGACTCTGTACAATCCTTTCTACATCGGTTCCCATGAGAGTGATCGCTGCGGAATCATTGATGTCGCTGGCCTTGAGATGTGATGTCTGATTGAAAAGCATGGCAATCAAACCAGAACGAACTTTTGTGTTGAACCGGTTGGTTTGGCGCCAATACACCGCGGTGGAGATCTTGAAGGGTATGTTATTCTCGGGTATGTCAATTATCATAACCGTAAACTACTCACAGCCCAGCCTAAGTAGACCAGAACATATGCCCCGACAATGGCTTGACCCCGATTCTTGCTATCTGACGTCCTGTAGTTTTGTATATAGTCAATTGTGACGGTAATGAGGAATGGCTGACAGAAGCTGAAGGCCGAGAGACATAGACGAGGCACGATTGCTGACAGGAATGTTCTCCGATAGGCATAGAAAGTAGAAAGAAGCAGCCGATTATTGCTACTCCTAGCTGCCCAAGCCTTCTCTAGCTGTTCCTGAGTAAATTGTGCTCGTTGATCGGCATCCAATTCTGGGATGTCGTCAATTCCCAGCACTTTTGAGTATCCATTTTGAAGAACCGGGAGCACCCAAATGAAGAAGCTTTGACCCCAGAATCCCAAAACACCTTCTTTAGTTGGTTTCTGATACATCGGCCGCAAGAACCGGAATTTATGTATGGACTCGGAAAAGAGTACTCCGACATTGAAAATGAGAATGGTGGTCCATAATGCCCGACAAGCTACACTGGCTGTAGGAATCTGCCACAACGAGCGGAGCTGGGGTAGTGAGAGCAGTACTTCTGCTGAGTAGTAGACTACTAAGAGATCGGATGGCTTTACCGAGCGCTGATCCTCGAAAAACGAGAGCAAAATTGCCGCCCCAGTCGCAATAACATTCACAATTCCCGAGGCAAGTCCTGCGCGGGTATGGAGATCCGGGTCTTCGACGCGCAAAGCCGTGTACAGGACATGTAGAACGAGAAGTACACCCAGCAGTGTCTAAATGCCAACATTCAGTCAAGTATCATTTTCAGTATTACTATAACCTACCAGCTTTACAACCGCCAATCGAAAAGAATTCAACTTGACTTGAGAATTACGAAGGACTTGCAGGCGCTGGGGGACCAGAACAAGGAAGAGTGCAGCTGGAAGCAGTCCAAAGAAACTATCCTCAAAAAGCAGGGTGAAATCGAATGGACGACACTCGGGGCTGACACCGGGACCAAAGAAATTGTCACTATCTGGGGCGCATGCCATGTTAGTTGACAGGTACAATGATAGGAAAGAAGGAGGAACAATGGGGATGTTGGGGTGAAAAAATACGTGCTATGGTTCCTTTTAAGTGCGCAATTAGTACACCATTAGTACACGACGGGAACAGACGCATTTCAGGTGACCCAATGAACCTCAGACGCCTTATCTTTGCAATTTATTTACCACCGTAGGCACAACACGACCCCCAGCTCGTTAGTCGCAGATAGCTGCCACTACCAAACTGTCTCCGACTAGCGAATTATAATTATCTGATTGGTTCCACTGTTACCGGCCTACGACTCTTGTGGTATGGACTAGTCAAAGATGACATGAATCCCTGCCATTAATGGACTTACAATCAATGGGCAAGACACTAAAAGCACAAGCATTGCCAAGCTTGAGCCATCTTATCTTGGGATGGGCACGCTGATGAGGCGGCTATGACCGACTACTCCTGAAATCATGTCCGGCTAACTTACGGACTCCGGCGCACGGAACACTGGTTCATTAAGATTGTATGTTATCTTATCACTTGATACTGGAAGAAGTTTTCAACCCACACTATGCTTGTTCCAAGGGAAAGGTTGGGCATCGGTGTGTTGATGATTTCAGAAAGGTGGAATTAGCTCTAGCTTGCCACCCATCCATCTTTCATACCTACGATCGAGGATAGACATCGTTCTCACCCATAATATGCATCCCAATCATAGTGTTCGAAAGACAAGCTCAGCTTCTAAGCCAGGGGAGCATCCGCCGGTAGTTCCAAACTGAGAATAGGGCTGCCACAAGGACTGTATCGTTCCACTGGCACCCACTCTTTCGCACCCCAGTCATACTCATCACTGAACTGCTCCAATTTATGACCCGCAGGATGCAAGAACTCCCTATAGGCTTGACACTTGAAACAGAGCCAGAAATTATCACATACCTGGCACTCCATAATGATACCAACGACGGGCAGAAAGCAACCGCCACAGAAGAAACTGCCCTTGAATTTAGTGCCAGGTAGCAGCTGATTCACTTCGAGATCATCCGGCACCAGGCGTTCTTTGACGTCCTGGTCAGCGTCGTGATATATCGCGACTTCCACTGGCATCCACTCCGTATCCCTTGCTTTACCTTTAGCGGCGAGATCGTAACCTAGTTCTACCAGGTACTCAATCATAGGAACCATATCTATCCAATGATCCGTCAAGGGAGAGACACATCTTGCCGCCCAATGCAACGGCGTCCATCCATCTTTATCGACCAACCCCAGATATGTGTCCTGGTAATCAGGATGCTGTTTGTGGCCCTCCAGGACCTCCTCCACCAGCTCCACGACCCCACTAATCACGGCATAGTGCAATGCCGTGCGACCCATCGAGTCTCGGGCCACGAGGGCATTCTCACTGGGGCTTAATGCGTGGTAGTGCTCTAGCCCCCGATAACATACGAGATGAGCAGGAGTCCTCTCAACCGAGTCCTTGCAGTCGGCATCAGCTCCTTCAGCCAAGAGAAGTTTTATGACCTCCGGCGCGCTACTCAAACACGCCTTATGCAAGGGCGATCGCAAGTTCCCGCCCCCATCATTGACACGGGCCCCATTATGAATCAAGTACCGGATAACCTCCAGGGTGTCGTTCAACTTGGAGCCATCGACTTCACGGCCGCAGGCCGCCTGCAACGGGGTCTCGCCACCCCCCGGTGCCGCAAAATTGACATCCGCCCCAGCCTCGGCCAGGATACGCACCATGTTCAGGCTCCCGTAACGACATGCAATATGGAAAACTGTGCCTTCCCCCACGACTTTATTCAGTTGTCCGATCAAAACTGACGCCAGATATTTGGTGACGAGCTCATTGTTAGCCCGCACGGCGACCCAGATCGCGCACTCCCCTTTTTTGTTAGCGTCTTTAGGATTGGCGCCACAACGGATTAGATGCTTGACAGTGGCCACTTTGGTTTTCTGGTTGATGAAGTGCAGGACACCTATCCCCGAGCTACATTTCCGGTCTAGCTTCGGCTGGTACTCCAGGATCAATGGTACGGCGCCTTCACAGTTGTGCTTTACGGCCCATTCCAGCGGAGTACAAGAGTCCTGGCACTCGCGGTTGATGTCCACACCGGCCTTCAACAGCAGGTCAACGATCTCGGTGTAGCCGTGATAGATTGCTATTGACAACGGCTGCTCTTGTTCTCCTAGATACAGATCCGGCTTAGGGGTATTGGCCAGGAGGACTCGAACCACCTCAACATGGTTACCTTTGCACGCGAAGTACAGAGGACAATGTATGTCCACGTCAGCCCCTCGTGAGAGAAGGAGTCGGGTGATTTCCAGGTGCCCAAGCCGTGTAGCAACGTGAAGGGGTGCCTCGTCATAAGCATACCTCTCCAGGTTGACATCAGCTTCAGATTCCAGCAAGCAGCGGACGATTTCAGTGTGGCCCAATTCTGTAGCAATAGATAGGGGTGTCATGCGGGTGCACAGGTCTAACTGGTCAACATCAGCTTTGAATTCGAGTAGGAGCTTCACCATCTCTAGGTTGCCCTTGTCCGTCGCGTAGTGAAGGGGTGAGGTCTCCCATGTTTCAACGTCCAATTTGGGGCTTGGATTTGCCCCTTCTTCGAGCGCGAGCCTAGCAATTTCAATCCGATTGTATCGCACGGCATATCCGAGGGCCTTCGTGGCGTCAGATACTGGGAACCTCTCACGATCTGCCAGGATTATCTGCACGCACTCCTTGTGCCCTTCGCGAACGGCAGCCAAAAGTGTTTTGGTCCCTTTTTTGCAACGGCGACAGAGCCCTCTCTTTAACTCGGACATGTTCATGTTGGCTGAGGGTGGTTATTTTGACTGAGGGATCTCTTAGTGCGCAGGGATATTAGTATGTAAGAGAACACTGAAACAAAAGGAAGATTCTGGTAATAATAGTCACAACCGAACAACACAAAGGTATTGTCTCCTTGATATAGGAAATACTAACTTCAGTGGGAGAACTTCCGGTGCTGCATAGGTATGACGAAGACGACTCTGAGCACCGAAACTGAAATACTGGAATCATTCACACAGACCCTTGTCCGACGAAATTCTGAGGTCATATAGGCTACCGTACAGCACAAACCTATGATGATGAATCTCTGACCGCTGCATTTCGCGCAAAGGTGATTTGAGGTCTGCCACGTATATAATAAAGAAAGGTTCAACAGTACACACGCAAAAGACAGAAGAATCTGTGGTCCACTGGACGAATCTTCCACATGTTCTGCTCATGAATACGTGATTAGGGAAGTTGTATGTAGTAGTTCATCTCCCTTACGAAAAGTCCTTGGAAGGGGACGGAGAGAATTTAATCTTGGATCGTTTCTAGTTTTCCCGAAGACCTTAGTTTTCAAGCAAAGCCTGGGTCAACCGTCGGCATTCGAGCATAATTCAAAGGGAATTATCAATTGTAGCGATATCAGATAGAGGCGATTTACCTCTTCCGATGCGATGAGGGATTTGAGCGTGTGTATCAGCTCGGAGATTGGGACGTCATTTCCCAATATTGAACATTAAACACTTGAATATATAAAGTACGGAGGTGAGTGATGCCCCAGGCACAGGTATATAAACCTAATGCCTGGCCTCGAATTTGCCCGCATGCTGGGCGTGCGTACGTTAGCCAAGCCTTCCATCAAGATTCCATCCCCAATTCTGAGTATTTCATTCGGCAAACCCTGAGTGGGTCCGTGAAAGGGTTCCAAATGCTAGCGGTCAGCATTTAGCGCCACCGGGACTCAAAACGTCCAGTGGGCCCGGAGTTATGAAACTCGACATGCTAAAGTCCGATTTAAACCTCAACCCTGTAGCCACCGGCTGGAACTTCAGCACCTAAGATTCTGTTAGCGGTCAGCATTCTACGTGCACTCATCTTTCCGCAATCTAACGTCCTCGATCACCTAGCTATCATTTGATCGTCCAATATGAGGGCCCGCGACGCTTCCCCGCAGTCAGCAAATCCACATGTCATCTATGTCGCTGAGAAACGTCCCGTTGATGACTGGTACGGTGTATCGGATGCGAAGGAACGTAGGAGGCGCCAGAATCGGCTGAATCAGAGAGTCCGCCGTAAGTCATCGTTTAGATACCAGTTTCATGATTGGTTCTGAGGGCACTCGCTGATGTATAACCAGGTTATAAGGCAAGACTCGCGCAAGCTCGTTCTATCCCTTCGAACGGACACTACCATCCAGTCACAACGCTTCAAACGCCCTTGAATATAGAATCAAATGGCCAGCTCCAAAGTTTACAACCTCATCCGCGACAAGATGTAGAACCGGAACTCACAACCCTCACCCGCTTCTATAGAGGCCATAATAGCAGCGAAGATAGCAAAGCAACAACAACCACCCGGAACACACCATCCATCCAATCGAAAATCGATGCACTATGTGCCAAGATGCCTAGCACAGACAAAGTCAACATCCTGCTACAACAAATCGCCAAGTTCCACTCCAGCTACCAGTTGAACTGCCCACAAGCAGACCATCTCCTCTCCCTCACGAGGATGAATGTGCATCGCGCATTCGTTACAAACATGGCTACTCTCGGCATTACATGGGAGTGGATGGAAGACGACTCGATATCTCCCTTCTCACTTGGGAGGCCTGGGCATGATGACCTTGTTGCTACCACTCTACCAGATAGTCTACGGCCCACGGAGCTTCAGCGCCGCAGTCCCCACCACACTTGGATTGATTTGTTTCCGTGTCCGATCATGAGGAATAATCTGATTCGGGTAGGTGATGACTGGGATGATGAGGAACTGTGTACGGATATCATGGGGTTCTGGGATGGGACTTCCACTGGACCCTATGGGTTGATTATCTGGGGAGAGCCTTCTGATCCTAGAAGCTGGGAGATTACAGAAGGGTTTTTGAAGAAATGGGGTTGGTTGGTACATGGGTGTGTGGATTTGATGTGGTCAACGAATCATTGGCGAGCGAAGAGAGGAGAGAGGCCGTTGTTTTCGATGACCAAGGTGTATCGTCAACTGGGTCAGACATAGTGGCAGAATTGGTCTAGGAGACAAATTAAATAAGGATCAAGAATCAAAGAAGACGTATTTATTATTATATCGTCGTTCATGACACCTGCTAGGCACCGTACATGTATAGCGGTCCGTTAAATTCCTGACTGCCACAAACTTATTCCAGGGTAATCATTATATATTGTAGAGAAGAGCTCGTCTTCATAAAAAGCTGGAGACACAAAGAAAACAACATCACACGCTTTACGTAGCCGGAGATCTACAAACACCACACCGTAGCTTTATACGGCCATCACTCACTTAGCACTCGTCCTGACCAAATCTCCGAACCGAGACCCCGGCTGCGCCGCCAATTCCGCAGGGTTCCCAATCTCCACAATCTCTCCCGTGTCCATCACAACCACCCGATCAAAATCCATGATCATATCCAGCCTATGGCTCACCGCAATAACGGTATAGTGTCTGAATTCCGTCCGGATGATATCCTGCATTACTCGCTCCGTCTCATGATCCACACTCGAGCTGACCTCATCCAGCAGCAGTATCCCATTGTCTGAGCCGTTCTGTGCCCGAACACGACGTCTCAGAAGTGCACGGCCAAGTGACAGGAGTTGGCGCTGGCCGGCACTGAATGTGCCTGCACTCATGCCAGCATTCAAGCCACCACGATCCTGAACAAAGTTCCATAGCCCCACAGTGGTAAGAATGGCTTGGCATTCTTCAGGCGTGGAAACGGAGGAGGTGTCTAGGTTTGCTTGTACGGTGGAACCGTCTGGCAGGAATACGGCTTCCTGGGGCACTGCGATGATACGCTGGCGTAGGGTAGGTCGGTTGATTCGGTGGAGCGGGATGTTGTCGATTGTTGCGTTCATGGCCGTTTCTGGGAGGGGGTCGAGAAGTTTGAGCAAGAGGGCAATGAGACTCGATTTTCCGCTGCCGGTCCGTCCGCAGATGGCAACTTTAGAGCCGGCGTTGATAGAAAGTTGGATGTTGCGGAGGGCGAGAGTGGACGTATCGTTGGATCCATTTTCAGCAGCGGGATTACTCCTGACGAGCATTAGCTTTGCGTGGTGGCGTTTGCATGGGAAAATAGCTCCTTTACCCGTAACTTGCGGATACGCCTTTCAGCTCGACTATGCCACTCTGGGGCCACTGTTCAGAAGGAATTATGTCCTCGCTGTCTGTATCCTCTGGCTTCACGGTTTCTTTGAAAGCCCTGAGTCTTGCAATTGCTCCAATGGACGTCTCTAGTTTTGTGTAAAAGATGACAATACCGGATATGCTATCGCCGAAGCTCATTAGAGAGACCAAAGAAGCGCCAGCGAAGGCAGAGTTTGAATGAAGATGAACGGCCAATGTCGTCAGTACCACTGCTATCACCATTACCACAAGGTTGAGAACAAGGTTCAACCACTCTTGGATCATAAGCAGAAGATAAGCAGGCTGCTGACTGCTATTGACCAAGAGAGCATTCTTCTCAACTTCGTTTGTGAGGAAGCCTGTACAGACTCTAGTTAGCAAGGTACTATATCATTGGAGAACCGATTATAGAAGCAGGCATGAGGAGGATACTGGGTTGGCCATAGGTCGGACATATATGCCATAGCTTACTCACCGAAGGCTCTGATAGTTGTAATGCCCTTGAGAGTGTCAAGGAAATGCGTGCTTTACGTCCCTGTCAGAACAATGAAGAACTCCCATGGTTGACAGAAAAAAGTACGAAATAATCAAACTCACTATAAGGGGCTTTTGGCTTCAAGATCCAGGAGCCTCAGTTGCCTAGATGTCCGAAGATAGAACTTCTGAACCACATAGAGCAGGGCAGCAAGGAAAGGATAACTGATGGCCAGGTACAAAGACGAAGTGAGCATGACAGCCGCTTGTCCGATCGCTTCGAAAACCTGTGAGACCCATGTCAGAATAAATGGAGACTTTCTCCCGGGAATTTCACAGTGTCCTGTCAGAAGGCATACTTACACAAGCAATGGTGTTGAGTGTGGCCTCAGGTAGCTCTGTGTCTATCAAATTCAGATCCTGCGAGAACAGATTTGTCACGATTCCAATATCCGTATTGGTAAAAAATTGAAGTGGCGCCTGGATCAATGTTCGCAAGGCTTCTTGATGGAGACCGGCCCCAGCTCGTTTCACTGCGATAATGAGGAGCGCAAAGCCCGTGACAAATAGGGATATCATGCAGCATATTTGGAACGTCGCGTAGATGCTAGCGTAGTATGCGGAAGAATGCGCCGGTCGTTCGGAGCCAATGTCATCGGACCAGTAGGTGAGCCCTGCACCGCGAGAATGAGTCAGAAAACCAATATATATGTCGTTCTGTAACCATAATATGAACTGCACTTACAAACAGTTGCAAAGTTCATGAAGAACCCCCACAGAGCGGCGAAGATCACACTGCATGCGGCTACAAGCAACCCCATCCTCTTGAAGTAATGCCTGTATACGGCTTTGTCGCCTACTTGCCGCGATTGCTGCATATTGGATCCCAATGATGAAGTGATAGATATAGTTCTATTCAAAACGTCGTTCTTAGAGCTCCGTATTTTCCTTGTTGATGGCGCTTTTTCGTGTGTGACATCGCTTTTGCGAGTCTCCGTTAACCCTAGACGTTGAACATATCCTTGCCTTGTTGCCAGCGTGGCATAACTACCTTGCTCAACGACAGAGCCGTTGTCAAGTGCTATTATATGATCCGCCGCAGGGAGATGTCTGATGCTGTGGGTACACAAGAGAACAGTCGAGCGTCGTCGTCGGAGCAGGCCATCCGGTCCAAAGACTTTTTTGAATACTTCCTCCTCTGTGTCTGCATCCAAGCCACTGAAGATATCATCCAGCACCAAAAGCTCGGAATGCAGGTACAGAGCTCGTGCGAGAGAAACACGCTGTTTCTGGCCTCCGGATAAAGCGATCCCGTCAGATCCAATATTAGTTTCGTCACCCTGAGGAAGCGTGGCAATATCATGATTCAGAGCTGTCGCGTCGATGACTTCTTCATACCTTGCTTCATTGAAAGGAGAAAAGCCGACAATATTCTCCTTTATGGTCCCATTTGAGAGGAATGCAGTTTGATCGCAAAACCCAACATGAGTAGCCACAGTGCTTATTATCACATTGCCCTTGCTAAAAGGAATTTCTCCAAGCAATGCTTTGCAAAGTGTAGATTTACCAGAGCCAACAGGTCCCACGACAATAGTAAGTGAGGCTGTAGGCAATCGGGTACTCACATCTCGCAAGACAAACTTGTCTACCTCCCAACCAAACCAACCGTTCTTGATTTCCACATGGTGGAGACCATCTAGACCCCCATCGGATGCCCTTTCATTGTTTCCTCTCACATTCTCCGTCTCACTCGTTATTTTAGCGAAGACTTGGCGAAAATCATGATGAGTCTCACACTCCAAAAAGGCCTGTATGCGGCCTAAACAAGCTATTGCTGAGACAAGACCAGGAATAGATTGGAAAACTTGCGAAAATGGGCTGGTCAAAAGAGTAAGAAAGGACAGGCTCGTAAACACCCTTGTCGCATCCAGAGTTCGTGTTGTGAAGGCAAAGGTCAGTGGCGGACTCATCAATTGTGGAATATAGGCAAGGAGGGCCGCAGTGATGGCTAGCTGGCGGAAGCGGGCACCCGCCGCTAATTCTTCAACGCGAAGCCTCTGCACGAAGTCACCAATGGCCGCAGATAGACCAGATATTTTCAAGTTCTTCATGCTGGAAATGACTGTAGCAGTGAGGCCCACGCGTTTCTGAACTCCTGCCATCCAGGCTCTTTGCGAGTCTCCAGTAAAGTTAGTCAAAATAGCCAAACCGGAGAAGCAAACAATAACAACACCCATAGGTGCGACGAACACGACACCAAGCCTTGTATACAACATCCACCCAGCCAGACCAGCTTGGATAATGCTTGCCCAAATCTCGTGCAACGATCTCAAGCCCATCTTGATCCGCTCCATATCTGTACTCATCAGTGTTAGAACAGCATTGTCATCACCAGCTCCGATACGCGCTGTTGTTGCTTTCTTGTAGATCTCTGTGACAAGCATGGACGTCGCCATAGTACGCATCCGGTGATGGAAATACCTACACCAATGTATGAGTAGTCCATTTTAGTGTCAGCATGTTTTCCGGGTCATCATACCATGTGAATGTCCACGAAATGGCCAGCCCCGAATAAATCAACAGGCTAGCACCGATGAATCCATATCCAGTGTTCGCATCGAGTCGGGGTTGGGACAAATAGTTCGACAGCCTTTCAAGAAAAAGTGGTTGACAAAAGGTGAAAGCGAGATAAGCCAGGCGTGGAATTACGGGCAAAAGAAGGGGGGCTTTCAATGTCCGCACCAGCACCTTTACAAGGCCAAACTTATCGCCCTTGAGCTTTGAATAGTCCAAGTTTCTGGAAAACTCCTCATTGAGCGACGTAGCATCAAAGGAGCTATCCAGGGGATAGAGATCCTCAGTTGCCAGGACTTTCCTGTACCCCCTCAAGAACATCCTGTTCAGCCAGAAAAAGACGCCAAGCGAGAAGATACCGCTTGTTTCTTCTGGGCTGTGCTTGTTTTCGTCCCAATCTATCCATCTGGACTTTTCTTGAGCTTCCAATAGTAAAATGCATACCTTAAGGGCTAGGGCAGCACTGAATATACTACTATAGCTGGTCTCGATTCTGTTGTCTGATGACAGGAACAACGTCCTTGCTTGTGTCGCGTCCAGGAGGAAAGTAAGAAACAAGTAGCTGTTCAGTAGTGTCGAAGGCCTCGGACTTCTGCTATGATCCAAGACACTAAGCATTATCATGAACAGGGCCGATACAAGGTTGAGAATTGAAGAAGCGATGAACATTGTGGTCACCTGGAATGACCCAACCGCGACCAGGACGAGCAGGGACAGTTCAAGACCCACATAGGTCGTGATGGCACCCTGCGATAGTCAATCAGTCAATCTCATGATCATCTGTGCTTTTACCTGTAGCGTATCGGGGAGGACCTACCAATTTTATTAGCTGGAATAAGGGAGCATTCACAACTACAGGCTTTCGAAATTGACATAACGTCCGCCATAATGACGTGACAATGAATAATGCAGACGGTATAATGGAGAAAAATAGCTGCTCAAATTGTAGGTTGAAGTCGAAGCTATTTCGATTTAGCTGGAGTAAGTTTTCTTTTCCGGTGGGGAATGGCATTTTGCGCAAAAAGAAAGCCCCTGCCCAGAGTGGTCTTTGCTAGGGGCTATAGGCACACAGTGTGTCAGTTCTGCGCTGTCAGGGTGCTAGCAACGAGTTCAGCTGAAAGAGTTGATTATGAGGCTTAGCCCTGAAGCTACGGGTGATGACCAGATCAAGGCCTTCCTCCTTGAAATATGGTCCATGTTATATGTTTAGAGTTTAGACAGCAAGATAACGATTTGCGGCTCTGTGATCGAGGGCGCCCGAGTCAAGGCACCAACGTTGAACTTCTCCACACCTAGGCTTAGTCAAAGACCTTCCGGGATAAGCTACCAGGCAGCCAGCTCCTTGTAACTTCCTGGTTGAACACTAGCATGTTAATGCCGCTTTGTCCGGCGTGTTCACCGACAGGACGCCATATTGTGACATGTTGGCGGGATCTTCCGCCATGCATTTAGGCAGACATACTACTCCTATGATAAGGTCGAATGCTTAGGGTTGATAAGCAATCTAGGCCATGGCCTATTAATTTACGTGTGTGGGTCATAGATGCATTGTGCCAATACCACCAAAAGACCCTTATCAGGCATATTCCACTTGCATTGTCCTCATTTTGTCAACCACTAAAAATGGACAAGGGCATAACTGACGGATAACAGCACTTTGATTGGCCTCCACATAACTATTAACTGCGCCCGATTAGCTAAGACAGCACTGTGACTTCCTTGCTCAATTTCTTGCAACCACCATGAGCCAAGAAATAAAGTCAGGAACATCTGGTCGGACATAGCATCTTCCTACTACAGTAGCTACAGGATATATTTCTTTTCGTCTGCGTGGTACCAGCCTTGGTGTCACCTGTTTATATTCTAGATATGATGCCCTACTGAATTAATATGGCCATCCAATCAGCTCCAAAAGTGCAGTGCCCCTTTGTTGGAAAGGGTGATTCCTATACGAAAATGTGAATATCCTCATAGGAAATGCAACAAAGAAAGGAAGAGACTCCCTTCGGAAACATATGTACTTGAAAGGTTCTGACTTCTATTGCGCATTGCAACAAAATATCCGAAAAAACACGAATGACCTCCCTGAATTTGTACAGGAGCGATTCGTGTACAGAAAAGAACGCACTCTCGACTATCTTATGTGGCTAACCCTCTCAGGGTGGTTCGAGGACGCCGTCACAGAATCCGTGCTATACAATTCGCCCAAGTTTCATGAATGGAAAGGCCATCATGGATGGAGAGACCATAATGAGCCCACGACCGACTATTGCACACCTTATGATGAGAGTGAAATCCTTTATGAAGCGCCTATCACTGTTTATCGGAAAACTCCCAGTTATGACAGCAGCGTTAGAAAACTATCTGATTACTTGAAAAAAGATGCCAAGCAGGTCTATCTTGACGGGATGCGTACTGTGCGGATTTGCGATCTGGATTTCAGTATGTTCCGTTCTGTCAACATGAGGAAGAAATACAAGGATGAGATTTTCTGGACCCCTCCTGGACCTTGCGGCATCCGGGAAGGTCTGCGTATGCCGTCAGACACGTTTGAAATAATGGAAGAGATATCATGCAGGCGGACATGCAAAGTCATTGACAGTATTACGTGGCAGCGGGCGTTGAAACACATGCAGCTGTCTCCATGGTCTGATAGCAAAAGAGTAGCACGTCGAGGAACGCGTACCGAGATTGAATTTTACCTTGAGGACGAAGTGGGAGAAGATATGGAAGAAGATTGGTTACAGGATTCAAGCATAGAGAGAAGTTGATCTACGCTTGGCACATTACAGCTTACTTCCACAAGTGATACTCAGCCCGCCAAATGGACGACCACAATACATTCCCACAAGCCGGAAGATGTTTTAGTATCCCGCTTCAAAAACAGAATGGGCTATACGGCCATCCGACATGGACTACTATAAGCTCAGTGATACTCTATGCGAGAATATGGGCTACGAACCTGACAAGGATAGCCTTTTCTAAATTTTTCGTGTTAAAGGGAGTTATCTGGACTGAGAGCTTGAACCAGAGACACATACTGATGTTGGAGATGAGCTTTCTGCCGGTGAGCCCTTGACAGTCACTGATCACGCTTCTTGGTTCGTGGCGATGGAGCAGAACCTGGTTGTCGCCTTCCGACCGCTAAATACCGCGCCACGAATGAATTCTAAGTCAGACGCGCTTCGGCAATTTGAGGGGATAATGGCATGTTAATCGGACACAGTCTATAAGAGTGATATTGTAGATCGAATGTGATATCGTAGATAGAGTGGATTGACAGAGTGACAAAGTAGGGTATTTCCACATTATTATGTTCTGCTCTAAATACTGCCAGCGTACAGGCATGTGAATGATAATGACCTTGAATGACAATCATCTTCCGTTGCAAAATATCCTCCGTCCAGTCGTCTTTGTACGAGATGCCCGATTATATAAAATTAGGCTGTATTCTAGTCACTGAACAAGATGATGACAGCAGCGGTCTTTGGGTTAGACTAATTGGCTAACCAGCTTCGCTACTATTGCCAATGACATATATTCATGCCGATCAAACCCCGGGAAATCAACGGAAAGGCCGGCATTACGATGCAGGCTTCCATGGTTCTTGTATCCCCGATAGCCGAGCTACTAAACTGGGGGGAGATAAGCATGAAGACAGAACCGCTGGGGGCGGGGTTCAATTGGAAACGGAGAACCAGCAGTGGCGCATTTAGCCGACGGGGTCCGAGAGCATCATCCTCCTACTTTGTTCGTTGTAGTCATCCGTCCCACTCCAATCATTCCGGCCACTTTACAATGACAATGGCTCGCTAGGTCACTCCTAACATGCTATCTTCGGCAATTGTGTGTCTCTCAAACTATGGGGCCAAATTCCCCTTGAGGCAAAGCACACTTTACCCCGCTTGCACCCGGTCAATTCCTCGGTGAATGCTCCGAAGGGCCAGCAGTCTTCCATAAGAGACGTCTGAAGGTTACCCAAAACTTCTATTCACAGACAATCAATCAATCTCAATCGAAGCAAATTTCTATTCAACATGCAGCTTCGGCACGCAGGTGAGTATACGCACTCAGTCTCCCAATGCGCGCAATTCCAGTCAATGGAGCTAATGATTGACGTCACAGCCTCCGAAACGGCCTTGAAGGACATACTCGAGGAAGCCCGTCCTGACTTGACGCCATTCGAGGACATCTATCGTGATATTCACAGCAATCCCGAATTATCCTTCTGTGAAGAACGCACTTCTGCCATTGCGGCCCAGCATCTGAAAGAACTCGGCTACGAGGTGTATACACACATTGGCGGCTACGGCGTCGCGGGCGTTTTGAAAAATGGTGCTGGTCCGACAATCCTACTTCGAGCCGACATGGATGCACTACCCGTGCAGGAGAAGACAGGACTTCCATATGCGAGCTCGAAAGTCGCCAAAAACAAGGACGGTGTCGAGGTCCCCGTAATGCACGCCTGCGGTCATGATACTCACGTCGTCAGCCTGATGGCTAGTGCTTCTCTCTTACAATCCGCCAGAACGCATTGGACGGGGACTCTAATTTGCCTATTTCAGCCAGCAGAGGAGCTCCTATCAGGATCCAGGGCTATGATAGATGACGGTCTCTATGACAAAATACCCGCTCCGGATGTGGTATTGGCAGCGCATGTTATGCCACTCAAGGCCGGCACAGTGAGCGTCCGTTCTGGTCGGCTACTAACCGCTGCAGATTCATTCAATGTGCGCATCTTTGGAAAGGGCGGTCATGGTTCGGCGCCCGAGGCATGCATTGACCCCGTTGTTACCGGAGCGGCCATCATCTTGAAGCTGCAGACCATAGTAGGGCGCGAGGTGCCTCCGGGACAACTGGCGGTGGTCACCTGTGGCTACATCCAAGCTGGTATAGCGGCGAACGTCATCCCGGATACCCTAGATTTCAAGCTTGATGTGAGGACATGCGACGACTCAATTCGCGAACGCGTAATACGTGCGATCAAGCGCATCATCCGCGCCGAATGCGAGGCGGCCGGCTGCGAGAAGGAACCGCAAATCGACCATGTCATGTCGACCCCGGCCACTATCAACGACCACGCTACCGTGCGAGCTTTATGCAATACATTCGGCTCTTACTTTGGAAAGCGACTCATCGAGTCTGACCCGGCAGGTGCCAGCGAGGATTTCTCCTTACTCGCTAGAGCTGTGAACGCGCCGTACGTGATGTGGACCTATGGCGGGATCGATCCAGAGACATGGGATAATGCAGTCAAGAATGACACTGTGAAAGATCTCCCGAGTAATCACTCGCCATTCTTCGCCCCAGTGATCCAGCCCACCCTCCAAACCGCCGTGGATGCCATGTCTCTCGGCGCGCTGACATTTTTGAAGCGAAATTGAATCTGTCACATAGCACCCACCCTTCCTAGATGAAATCAAACACGACGCCATGAACTGAATGCCAAACAACCCACACCATCCATCCCCACACTATCCCCACACCCCTCACGACCTCTCCACCACACGGACCACAACCTTCCCCCTTGCCCTTCCCCCGCGGAGTTTCTCAAACGCCTTCGGCGCATCCTCAAACCCAAACACACTATCCAACACCACCTTCACCTTCCCCTCGCCAATCAACTCCCCCACCTTGGTCAAATCCTTGTTATTACTCTTCCAGAAAATCGGCACATACTTCATCCTCCCCCCACCCAAAAACCCGGGTCGAATAAACCTCACCGCAAACGTAGGCATCCAATTCGCCCCAACCTGGGTAAACACACCCCCAGACACCATGAACTTGTCACTCTCGCGATACAACTCCCACGGCTCCCCCACATGATCCACCACCAACTTAAACACCCTCCCCTTCGCCTTCACCACCTCCACCACATTCTCCACCGTATAATCAATCACCTCATCAGCCCCCAACCCCTTCACAAACTCCACATTCTTCCCCGAACACACCGCCGTCACCTCACACCCCAGCGCCTTCGCGATCTGCACCCCGTAGATCCCACACCCACCCGACGCTCCCACAATCAATACCTTATCCCCTGCCCCCGGTGTCACATACGGCGCGATGGCCTGCCACGCCGTCTGCCCCGCTACTCCCACCGTCGCGGCATGATCGACCTCCACACCCTCGGGAACTATCTGTACGTGCTCGGCTTCAGCGAGAACGTATTCAGCCAGCGGACCGAATTGCGTTGGGAGGGGCAGCGTGCCGTAGACGAGTTTGCCCGGGGTGAGGGTGGAGGGGACGTTCGGGCCCGTGGAGACGATTTCGCCGGCGAAGTCGAGGCAGGGGCTAGCGGGTTTTCGGATCAGAAGGGTTGATATCACGGGCATGGCGGGGACTTTGTAGTCGGCTGGGTTCAGGGCGCAGGTGTGGACGCGGATGAGGAGTTGGGTGTTTTTGGGCGCTGGAGGGGTCGGGGCGCTGGGTGTGAGAGTGAGGTTTTGTTCCAGGGTTGGGTGCGTGGTGCTGTAGAGCCAGGCTTGCATTGTTTGGGGATGGGTAGATGGGGATGCCATTTTGGGTGGTTGTTGATGATGATAATGCTGGTTGTTTGTTGTTACTGTGGAGTGGTGATGGAGATGGAGATGGAGACGAAGCTGAAGCTGTCATGTTGCGTTGCATCGGCCGGATTAGGATTAGTGTGGTTGGATGGATGACTGGTTGCGAGCGATAAGATAAGACGTCATTGACTGCGATAGCTTCATCTGTTTATCCATTGCAATACTCGATGGATTTGGTGTATCTGTAGGTGTCAAGTGGTACCAGTCAAACTTGTGCTATGTGGTATTGTCATTAGAAGGGCCAAAATTATCCTGGGCTGACAGGTTACTGTACAAACACAACGAGTAACCGATATTCCACCTGACCGTGCGACAATAAGCCCACAATTCATGCACCACCATGTCAGTGTCCTTTAGACACAAAAGACTTCACTGTCTTCTTTCTCTAGTCTCTACAACCAGAACTGTAAGTTTCACAAAACACAACATATAATACACAGGCAATCCCCTCCGTCCCTATACCAAACTCCCAAACCCCAGCCAAGCCAACCCAAACCACCCCCATCTCACCGCGCGTCCACACCTCACCCCCAGCAAATACGAGCACAGCCCAACGACGCAGGTACCCAAACCCAAAAGCGATCATGATATTCAGGGGCCAGTGGGCCCCCACATACACGGCTGATAAACCGCTACCCGTCAATCATGGCCATTTGGCCCCAGATTTCGGATCCTTCAGAAACGTCTAGACCCCATTGTGTCGCGTGGACGTGCAACCAACAACTTTATGTTTTAACCTTGTTTGGGATGTTCATGTTTGGTCTGTGTGATGATGATACGAGGGGGGTGGGAGATTTGGCCCCTGTGTCAGTGAGGATTTCTGTGGGTGGTGTGACTTATTGTTGTAGGATGTGTAGTTTTGTTGGTTCTTTTGGGAGATTATTAGCCTGTAGGCTACTAAATTGTTTTTTTACAGCTGCTGCTTACTTATGATGTGCGGATGTGTTTCCATTCTAGTAGAGTGTTTTGTTGAATATATCAAACGCTGATAGATGGATTCTCTGAAGTGCTGCAGGTATGCCATTGATATAGAATAAGGCCCAGATCAAGCATGCATGTTTCGCCAATTAATGCCGCAGTTAGGGCAGTCGAAAAGCTCGTAGCCATCGTTTTTTCTGTTAGGGACCAGCTCGAGCTGCAATTCCACTTTGACCTCTTCAAAAGCCTGGCCAATAGACCTTTCATTGTCTCCAATCGACTGTTCC